ACCATGAAGTTTCAAACTCTCCGATTCGAAAACACATTTAATTTCTTACCGCCAATCGTACGTTTGTTGGCTGCTTCCCATTCCTTTCGCGCACCATTTTCGTCTGAACGCCTGACTAAAAACAACGCAGGATCCATTTTGGATGAGTTGTGGGTAAAAAGAATCATTGAATGACGCTTTGTAAGGCTGTTAAGTCAAATATAAAAGGAATGAATCAGTTCAATTCGCCTGTAATGTAAGCGAAGTGTGACTCTATTATTCAGGAGCTCACAAGATCCTGGTTCTGTTTGTCATCACTTCCCCTAATTTTTTCGTCTTCTACGTAATTGATCTTTTTAGCGTAATTGAAGAACTATCAGCATTTCGGAGGAACCTCTCCCGGCACTTGGGTGACTTTCGAACCGGAAAATGTTTACATCGATCGCAAGCCTTATCTCATCTAAGTTTTTTTAGTGACGTTTCTCTCCCAGTGAGATCAAATTAGAGATACATTTTTCCAAAATTTCATCTCTGGAATCCTCTATTCTTTAAGCGGATTTTGAAACTCTGTATCATTTTGTTAAACGTGGAGCGTGGCGAATTTATTCATAGGAGGCGTTTTGCTCCTCCTTTTACGAATCCTTTCTTTGCGCCCGGTGATGAAACGTATAAAAATTGAAGCATTCGAAGTTGTTCGTCTCTTTGTAATGCGTTTGGACATCAAAGGTCGATTTTGTACACTTTTGTGTATGATATTTCAACCGTGAACAGTGATTGTATCGCGGTAAAATGTTGAGAATGTGGTTGTTTGCCCGTCTTGCAAATTCTTCCATTTTGTCTTTTGTTCTGTTCCACAAACAGAAAACGTCGTCAAAACACCTCTTCCAAAGCAGCGGTTTAGTTGTGCTCCAGGTGTTAATACTACTTTTCTACGTCTACTGCTGTTTTGGTATTCTTTACATGCCGTTTCCGTCTGGATTGTAAGAAAAAGTATCAAGTTCCCAAATGATAACAATAGCAATGTCGTGCAAAGCACACTGGTTGAGCGAGGCCCTAAAGTTAACTGGGACACTATATCTGAGCGCTATGCTTATGCGAAAAGTCGCCACATTAACGAATGAAAACCTGACCTAATTCATATGATATTGACTGTAACATTACGATTCTCGAAAGATAGGCCCTCGCATTGCATAACTAATCGCATTCGCTAGTTTGCTCTCTCTATGTATCAGATGTACGTGTGACTATGTGCTAATAAGGATCGATATGCTGTACTACACAAAGTGATCATCCTTGATATACGATGCCAACATTATTCTATTCGTGCAAAAACTATCACATAAAGTAATCGAGAACACTATTATTAAAAGCCTCGGGATTTTCCCTAAGTTACGCAATAAAAAGTGGACTAAGATATCTTGGAAGCTACTTTGTGAAGTGAAAGTCAGCGGCTTTGCTCTGGGGAAAGGTTTTTCAGAGAACTAAACCGTATCTTGTGCCGACTAAATTATAACGTAACGGGAATGAAAAGAAATACTCAGGCAGTAGTCCATTAAGAACAAGATCGCAACCTTTCATGCAAAGAATGATAGAAGTGAGTGCTTTATTTCTTTGTCAGATGCCACAGCCATCATCCAAACGGGAACCTTGTATGAACTAGCTTAAGTGAAAGCAAAGCGAAAGAAAGCAACATGAGTTCGCAACAAAGGGAAAAACAGCTGTAAGTAATAACAGGAACGTACCGAGTCATTCCTCTATAATAGGATAGGCCCTTTTTCCAGCTGGGGTCATGTCATTGATCAGGCGCGGAAATCACCAATTCAACTATATTCTAGAAAACTTCCACTTCCTAGCCCATGAAGCAAATAGTTAGCTTACTAGATATTCAGTTACGATGTGAGTTGGAGCACTTTTGCTCTTCAGTAAATATTTTAGGGAGGAAACGTGCCTGGCCGAATTTTCTTCTGACAAGAATGACGTCACATCCCATCCCATCTCTGGCAGAGGTCCAGTGATCGCTTTGCATGATCGCAGTCTTTCATCTGATTAATTAGATATTTAAAGAGCCTGATTATTTCTCAGATATCACATCCGTTGTCCAAGTATGATTACAAACAGCACTTAAACCCACCAAAATGTCTGCTGAATACGCAGACGAAAAAGAAGCCCGAAACAATACCAAAGTTGGATTTTCCCCAGTCCACAAATCATAAAGTGAATTACTTTCTATAAAAAAAAAAAAAAAAAAGTATGTATCCAATTGAAACAAAAGTCATCTTGTATAATCAGGGCCTTTTAGTTCAAATTAGTTCTATGCCACAGGTGCTCTTCAGAAATAAATAATAAACGAGTTTTTCACAATAAATACGATAGAAAACATAATTAGCAAATACATAGACAGGTAAAAACGGACGATATAAAATCCCGCCGTTTCGGCGACTTCATGACGCCATTATCAAGGGTACAAATGAAAATAAAATTAACAAATGCGAGTTCAAGAGTTACAACTAATTTGCATAGGGGAGGTAGCTACATAAATACTTTAGCATGGATAGAATCCGTTTGCACGTTCAAAGTCGGTGTTAATTGTTTGATGTAAAGCATCTCGTTCACAAGACAATCGAATTTGTTCATACACTTCTTGAGAACTTTGAAACAGCTAAGAAGGTCCTCAGGGACAGCACCTGCGGGGTCGTTGTCGTAGTGCTTGCGTACTGAAGATGACGTGCTCTTATGGCTATTCACGCGGGCATATAAATGCCCGCGTGGATAGCCATAAGAGCACGTCATCTTCAGTACGCAAGCACTACGACAACGACCCCGCAGGTGCTGTCCCTGAGGACCTTCTTAGCTGTTTCAAAGTTCTCAAGAAGTGTATGAACAAATTCGATTGTCTTGTGAACGAGATGCTTTACATCAAACAATTAACACCGACTTTGAACGTGCAAACGGATTCTATCCGTGCTAAAGTATTTGTGTAGCTACCTCCCCTATGCAAATTAGTTGTAACTCTTGAACCCGCATTTATTAATTTTATTTTCATTTGTACCCTTGATAATGGCGTCATGAAGTCGCCGAAACGTCGGGATTTTATATCGTTCGTTTTTACTTGTCTATGTATTACTAAATCTTTGTTAATAATAATTAGGAAAGAGGAAAAAAATAACATCAAAAGACACGTACACCAGAATTTCGAGAGGATAGAGTAACAGGAAAATTAGTTAGATGCCAAATCCTCTCAAGAAAAAGGAAAAAATTACCCGAAAGCCCACATACACAGGAAGCTGATTGATAGATTGTCCTGTATAAAAGGAACCGCGATCTGTCTACTCATCATTCAAGTCCACAGGTAGCTTGAGGAGAACCAGCGAATAATTTAGGAAGGAAACATTCTTCAAGGGTCGAAATAGTAAGAGATTCTTATTGTTAAATAACTTTTTTACACATTACAGTCTACTAGCTTTTCCACCTAGGTGTCTCATCGACGCCTCTAATTTACGGCGCTTGTCATTAGTTATGCTGAGAATCTAACCATTAGCAAGCTTGTATTGTTAATTAAGTTATTGAGCTTGTTGAATGATAGGACACTCGATATTCTCTCAAGCGACGTTCTTGAGTATTTTTGGGGTCCAATAAAAGCCCACCAATATGCCCAGGCCATGCATCAGTATGAATAAAGGCTAATAGTTTCTAAAGAAACTGTTTGGGGCTGCGTCGGTGGGGGTAACGAAATAATTTGGATTGTATCCACAAAGTTGAAATGCATCAATACCTCGATACTTGTGTCAGAACGACAGGCACTCTGCCCAACAAGACACCCAGAGGTCCTACTGACCATGATTGTCAGTCACATGATGCGTTGTTAATAGCAGTCATAGCGTGGTCGCGAGTGTGCGAAGTATCAGCAAGTAAAGTTTTATTGTTTGTAGATTGCAGAGTTGAAAGCTTTGTGCCTCATTGCAATTTTCTTTGCTGTTACTGGTGAAAGTGTCAACTCACAGGCCTCAGGTAATCAAAGCATTTAAACCATGACAACGACGATTTATTTTTCACTCGTTGCAAGAAGGGCCTTTGATCACTTTGGATCTATCGCGACTGGAAGCAATTGCAAATTGACACAACGCAACAGTCCTTGCTTTTGAAATATAAACTGTACGTTCCTGCAGACAAAGGGACCCGAAAGTCTCTAAACCATGTGCTGTTCTTTCTGAGATGAGTTAATCGCGTTCGAGTAAATTAAACAGAAATTTATCGAAAATGTGGACCTCTCTCGTCAGGTGACATTACAATTGAGATATTACCACTTCAATGACGGTTTGGAATCGGTTCATTTACGGGGTTATAGTGCTACAAACCTGAAAAATAAAAGCTACGTTTTTCAAGATAAGCAAATAATAAGGATCTCCTTTAGGTAACCACCAAGGTTTGGAGGAAATTCAAAAACCCCTTCCCCGCGCGATATCAGTCTTGGCATACTTTCTTTCTAGATCAAATCGAAGACCACAAACAGCTACCATTGATCTAAAATTTTGGTAGCATGGGAAGATTAGGTTTCTGGACCAAATGGATTAAAGATTATCTTTCCCTTAACAGATTGCTTAAATAACTGGCAGAAGGCAAATACCGCTCCAGTGTGTTTTGGTGCCAGGGATACTCAGTTTGGATCCTTCTACCTGCCATCTGGCGGCGGACTGGTCGGTATAAAGTTAGTCCACAGGTATGGTTACGTGTCCTGTGACGTTAGACATCCCCGACACTGGTCGTTTTGGGGGTGTGGTCAACATGGCAGCTTATCACAAGAGGTTAATGTGGTCATAACAACATCGGACAACAAAATCATTTTGCCGCCGGGACAGTTCATGAAGTACAATCACCAAGCAGGCAAGTGGGCCAGGGTTCCCGGATATAACTCAGCTTCCAAAGAAATTGTGCTGACCCCATTTACGGAGCCTTATGCAATACTTTCTGGTCAACAGCTACGCCTTTGGTACGGCGAAGATCTGCAAGGTTACACTAAGGCGACGACGGAGGCAGAGTTTGTTGTGATGTTTATGTTCAGTTTTAAACATAGCTGTCTTTTTATATCGGCCACATTCTTGTTAAGTTACATTACGTGCAATAATCAATGCAATGGTCTTAGAGTTAACTCTCTCCTTCAAAACTGATTACACGTTTTTTCACCCAACCAACCTGTGAATGTCCATGTCAGTTATTGTTGATTTTAGAAACTTGCAAAAATGTCATTTCAGGCAGAGATGGGGTAAAACAGAACGACAAAGTATTGATTGTATGACCGGTTAGTAATTCACAAGGAAAATAAATGAGCATACAAACTGATTTTGTTGTAGTTACTTTTCTTGTTTTCTTGTTCTAAGTAACAAGTATGGAACACATAGGTTCCCATGCCTCTCGAACAAGACAAAAAGTAATTTCTCTACCTAGCTCAGAATCTCTCATCTTTCTTATTCCAGCCATGCTATTGTCTTACACTTTAATTTTTTCTCCGATAAAAATAATTCAGCTTCATTGCAGCTTGCTTAGTTTACCCAAATTACCAGCAGAATATGATCGGAAGAAACATCGGAAGAAAGTTAAACGCTTTGTTGAAACTAAATTGAGGGAATTTATCAGATTTAAATCAAACAGAGGATAAGATCCGAATGTCATGATATAAGGTGGATTACACAGGCTGGCCAATATTGCATTCGCCATTGTTAACATTTGGGACATCAACCACAGGACGGTGTCGGATAACGTCTGCGATAAGTTAAGGCTGTTCCATATATATATATATATATATATATCTTATAAACCAAACGCGAGGGCCGTACTGGGAGAATATTGGCCCGAGGTCTTGACAGTACGGACCGAGCGCACCGCGGTCTGTACAAAAAAGACTGAGGGCCGATATTCTTCCAGTACGGTCCCGAGCAAGGTTGGTTAATGAGAGATTTATTATACGACTGAAGTTCAAACGGACACAAGAGCGGTATCATTCGGGATTATTCGGGATCATTCGGGATCATTCGGGATCATTCGGGACCATTCGGGACAGTGCGCGGTCCAATACTTAGAGAATATTGGACCGGCAATAAAGCATTTTGATTGGTTGATTTTAGTTATTGGTCCTCTGACTGCCCGAGTCGTGTAATAAATTGTGGACTATAGGACCAGAAACATAAGGTTATCAGGTTTAAGTTATTACTTCCTCTAAGGTTGTCGAAGCGTAAGTCACTACTGACCACATTACTCCTCAGGGCTGCTCAAACCCGGATGATGAGACGAAAACGCTTTGTTGTGTATGTCACTGCAGTGATCCTTCCCCCTATCAAAAAATCATTTTCTCTACAAACATCATCACAAACGTATTAAATATTCCCGTGATGACAAAAAGATACGGTCCCTTGAGCTGGCTTTTACATCAAAATAGTTAAGATTAAGATTTTCCGCGAGCCTCTTTGCCAGAACACGCAGCTTCTAAAGAAAAGAATAATTTATCAAACTAGTGTAAGTATGAGAAAGAAAGCGGCTAAAGTAGTCGTCTTAAATATCCCTTTAAAAAAATATTCGCTGAGCTTGTGTCAGTATATCTACCCAGGTCACTAGGAAAGGAACGGAGGCATTCTCTTTCATTAACACCTTAAATCTCTTTAAAAAAAAAGTTAATTCTACATAATTTGGAATATACTCTGAACAGTAAAATCCATGAGTTTTACTGTAAGGCATAGAAAATCATGAAAGCCAGAAATACTTGGGTTATTTTGTCAGGGAAAAAATTCCATCTTTTGTGAGAGAACCAACAGCAACGGTGACGGGTTTGTGGTTTTCACTGGAATAGTGATACGCTCGAGACAATAAACCGCGTGCTCTGATGTTGCAACTATCATGCAAACTGAAAGGAGCTATCACGTATGTGGCACTTATCAATAGTTTTACAGGAGACAAGCAATTCATGCCAAGTCCGACTTTAGCCTGATCGCCCAGCCAGTTGATTTCTACGTTGACATAATATGAGGCCGATCTGAATTTCAATGTGAGATAGTAAACTGGCGATAAAAGCTGGTGATGAAAGTTTAGTTGACAGTTACAACTAAGAGAAATCCTTAGAATTTAACTCAGACACTTACCTTATCGTTCTTGGAATAAGATGTAATTTTTTGTTCCGTCACGTGGAATCCATTAAATACGACATAATAGTACATTTCACCCGCCCCTAAGAGAGAAAGGATAACAGAATGGTCTCAATTGAATGGATCACGCAAATATAAAATAACTGAATGAGAAAGGGTGAGCTGTGCACGTTTTCTTGTCCACAATACGCATTCCACACGCATTTGCATTCGATTTTACGCTCGTCAGACAGAGAACGACCACAATTAGGGTGGATTTGCCCGAGGAAGGACACAATTTGACCGAGTGTTTCATAACTCTAAACAAAGTGGCAACAACTTACCAGAAGAAATAAAAAATATTATAGAAAGCACTCTAGTTCACGATCAAGAACTGGAGGCGTATATTGTAAGAACTCACTCTTAATGTAAAGCAAGAAAACTGGACTGACAAGTATATGTGAACAGAATTTTTTTCGTTTTTAAATGCGATGTCTCATAGGTACTTATAACAGGATGACCGTGGGCTGGAAACAGAAGTAAAGAAATATCACTACAGGTTGCCAATGAGAAAACAATGTGAAACAAACAAATTTGCTCAAGCGCGGATAAAATCCAAGTTAACTACTTTTACTTATGCAACTGACTGGTCGAGGAAATTAGCGAGCAAGGTTTAAACAAAACTAATTTAATTTGAAACCTCTCTGCTTCTTACCGTGCTTTTGTGCTTTAAGTCTAATATAAACGTTATGGAAGTTGCCATTCTCCACAGAATGTTCTCCAACTACACACATGTACTGCGCACGTTCTCCGTCTAACACGCATGTGCGGTGTCCTCTGTTCTCCCATGCCACGATAGCTGATATACCACCCACAAGGATGGGAAATAACATGTATTGCTGGAGATGGGTGAGACGTTAGTGTTTGGAGAGTAAACATTAGTAATATAAATTCTACTATAGTCACCGAATATTTTTACTGCCGTTCTTGTAAATGAAATTCCCATTGATTCCAATGACTTGGTAAATCAGAGAATCACGTCAGCGATTAAATGCTATCTAAAGGAGTGCGATCAAAACGACATTAAAACTCTTACTCCCCATTCATAGAAGCTACATCTGCTTTTTAAATGCTATAAATTTGTCTGTTGGCTTTTCATTAAGGTCGGATGTTCTATCGAGACAAAGTATCATGCAACACGATAAACATTTAATTCTCATTACTTGTCGCTTGGACAGTGTATAAAAAACATTAAGAAGAATATGTTATATGATCACCCAACTGCGAGAGAAGTTTAACAAAGATGTCGCATACTCATGTTCTATCCGGATGTTCTATCGAGACAAAGTATCATGCAACACGATAAACATTTAATTCTCATTACCTGTCGCTTGGACAGTGTATAAAAAACATTAACTTCTATGAATGGGGAGTAAGAGATGTCGCATACTCATGCTCTATCCACTGAGCTAACCGCCTCCCGGTTAGCTCAGTGGATAGAGCGCTGGACTGTTGTGCGGGAGGTCGAGGGTTCGAGCCCCAGCCGGACCAACACTCAAGGTCTTAAAATAATTGAGAAGAATATGCTTCCTTTCTATAACATCAAGAAATGGTTAGATATTCTAGTCTTCTCGGATAGGGACGAATAAATGGAGGTCCCGTCTCCTACAGGGTTAGGGGTAGGAGACGTTAATTTCCCACGCACGAGATTACTGTGTGATGGATGTCCTCCCCTGGGGTGGGATGGGCGGGTTAGGATTGATTGTAAAGCGCTGTTGATCTGTCATTGTAAATAGCGCTCTATAAGTGATAAATTGTAATTGTAATTGTAATTGTTCTAAACTCAGTTCGGAAAATCTATCTTATGAAGCTTTCATTAAAATCTTTTGAAAGATTAAACACTGGAGCCTCAGAGAAACAGATGAAGATTCANTCTATCGAGACAAAGTATCATGCAACACGATAAACATTTAATTCTCATTACCAGTCGCTTGGACAGTGTATAAAAAACATTGAGAAGAATATGTTATATGATCACCCAACTGCGAGAGAAGTTTAGCAAAGACTCGCATACTCATGTTCTAAACTCAGTTCGGAAAATCTATCTTATGAAGCTTTCATTAAAATCTTTTGAAAGATTAAACACTGGAGCCTCAGAGAAACAGATGAAGATTCAATCAAAGTGAAATTTGTTCGCTGCATTTAAAAATAATCACAATCATAATGACCTAAAATGGAATCCTAATCAGTTTGTGCGTGAAAAAAAAAGACTGTTACATAACCGATCAAACTCGTCAGATAAAAAACTGTAGAAAAACGTGTGCGAACTAAGTTCCATGAGTCATATGAGTAAGTTGAAAAGCGAAATGCGTAAGAGTAGCTCTAGGCGCGGCCGAGAGCTACTCTAGCTTTTTTGAGGGCTCTCCAAACTTCCCGCGTGCATCCATAACTCAATATAAGCACAGCTAAAAGCATGAACAAATTTTTTTTTAACAGAGCGACAACAAGGATCTGTGCGATAGAGTGCAAAACTCTCACAATGCACAAAAAAAGTAAACAAACTTCCCCATTGGCTGACTAAAAGCACGCCACATTTTATACTTTGGTTTGAGCGAGCGCATTTGATACAGCTAATCGATGACTGTAAGTGAAAAGCTCAAAATCAACGGGGAAAATGGAGAAAATCAAAGCTAAATGAAGTCAAGTGTCACTAAAAAATGTTTTAAAGCTCAACGGTCCGACAAATTTGCGAAACATTTTTCTCTGAAAGGATACAAAATAAAACTCCATTAATTCACAGTGAGAACCCTCGACTTCTTTTTTCTGTTTTAAGGAGGTAAGTTTTATATTCTATCCAATCTTTATATTTTCTTTGTATGGAAAGTATCGCTGAAATTATTTTTCCTTCGGTTTCTCCAGTCATAGCATCATAACACTAAATGCGGCTTGCTCATGTTTCCAAAATAAAACATTACTGTGCCTTCGAGATGGTTCTGCATAATTAATGCTAATTATGTTTTCATTTTCCAGCGGTTGCGATTTGATTGGTTTGCGTGAAAAATAGTTTAGGTGCTGAAAAAATTTCACAAGAGTTTGAGGGTAAGTCAGATTTCTCATTCGTGATATCTTTCCAAAGTTTTATGTATAATTTCCTTCCAGCTTTGCAATATCAATAGTAGTCAAGACAAAAACCAGGCTCGTGAAAATATCGAGAACAGACAGAAAAGTTGGATATTTTCAGTTCATTTTAACTGAGGTCAAAAAAGTAAGAAATACGTATGATTTATATTTACAAGGAGTTATTCTGCATTTTAGCTGATCGATTGGATCATCTCTTTTTAATTGTGCATAATTATTATAGATGAGATGTTTGAAGTGATTAATTTGTTTCTTTAATAAAAGCAGGATTTCCGTAAACTTATACCTCTTTTCTCTTTACTTTCGTATACATTCGATTAGCTTTCCTTCAATCACTAAACATACTTACGCTGGCCTCAAGTGCAATTCCCCAAGTAATCAGTGTAACCATGGAAACGAAGGCCGTAAGAGTTCCAATGTAAAATCGTTTTCTACTTAGAGTAAGAATGAACTCTGCAAATTGATAAAAACTTTGAATCAGTTGCACCTGGCTTAACTTGGCTCGACCTAATTAACAAATGGTAAACACCACAACGTACACTATTGAGTTATGGATGCACGCGGGAGGTTACTAAGCACGAAAGAAGCGAAAGAGTCGCTCGAGGCGATAGCGACTCTAGCTTCTTGAGTGCTTAGCAAACCTCCCAAGTGCATCCGTAAGTCAATAGTGTACTCTGTGGCGTTTTATACATTGATACATTGTAGCTAAAGAGTTCCCTTTTATTTAACAAATCTTGCGTGACCAGAAAAAACAAGCGCGCACGGAAAAATAGTCTTTGCATTTGCTCACGTCAGCAGCGTACACCCATGGGCAAATGGGGGACGCTAAATTGACCAATCAGAGCGCGCGCTTTACTTTGGTTATGTTATAATTTTCTTTTTAGCCTGTGTAACGTAGAAAATGAGGTCGATCGAGTTGAGAGAGGTAACAATTTTTTGTGTGAAACGAAACTAGTGATTTTTACACCAATCAAAAGGCTCAGCAAAAAAGCCATTACACATCGAGGAATGCCTTTTACCCTTGAGGGAAAGTTATTCCTATTATCTCTTCCATGAACAAGAAAATCAACCGTTGATCGAAAAAGAAAAAAAAAAATGGTTGCGTACTACCATAAATAAGTAATGAAAAACGGAAGCGAGTCGGTAAAAAAAAACTGCGTTCGTCCTCCTTGAAAAACTAAGTCGTTAACCGGTAATTTTGATTGCATAAATCGGCTCTTAACGTTTTATACAAAAAAAACAACTAACAAAAAAACAAACAAATCACAACACAGCACACACACACATACACACACATACACACACATACACACACACACAAACACACACACAAAATAAAAAAAAAAAAAACCAAAAGGAAAAAAGAAGAGCTGAGAGTATTTTGGATCTTTACGTCACACTTTGACTTAACGCACTAAGGTTCATCTATAGTTCTGCCGGAGAGATATTTTCAGCCTTATTTAAGCCAGCTTACATTCTTACACTTTCAGAAGGATAAACGATAATTTCACTTACTGTTTCCTTCAACCATTTTAAACGGATAATATGGGTTACACTGAAGTCTCCGGTTAAGTATGGCTTCTGGCTTCTCAAGGATTTCAAGCGCTTTCAGCGCCTTTTTTAAACCCATCGTTGCTATTGTCGTTTGGAGTATTTCACCTCTTCCCAACTCGCTACAATAACCTCATACGAGCTTTGTGACGTCAGTTCCCGCGCGCATTAGTAACAAAGCTACTCGAGACGCAAAACGTTGTCTTTCGCGTTGCATTCTGGGTTTAATCTTTTTCAAGCGTTTTAAACTGAAAGTGCGCTAATAAGCTGCTGGTAGTCTGTCTATTCCCTTTCAGAATGAAGGGAGCTTCAGTAGAGAGAGGAGATTAGGCATGACAGAATTTAAATCTCTTGCCTCTTCTTTCGGATTTTGAAGCCCTAAACTCCTCTATTTGCTGTGTACAATTTATTTTTGCCTTTTGACTGTAGCACTGTTTTGAGAACTATACGAAAAGCGAGTTAAATACAAGTTCATTCTCGTCATATGCTGTGACCATCACCGTCCCTATTGCACGACCAAATAGTAGCGTAGCAATCAAGTGAAAGCTTAAAAACAGTGCACAGGATAATAAACATAACAATTACCTGTCAGTCGAAGCTTAAGTACGCTAAATACAGAGGTTACGAGCTTTTCTGTCATCTGAAAGCCAAACAAAAACGTGTATTGATCTAAAAAAAAAAATAAAAATAACTCATTGAAGTCCACTTTGCGTGAAAAATTCTAAATTTTTGTAGATTATAAACAGTATCAGTTAATTGCGATGGCTTCGGGGGCCATTAAAAGTACAATAATAAAACACAAAACACGCTTATCGTTTGTAAATGACTGGTCTTATTTCCTTCCTCGTATGTTGCGAAATTTCAAGTCAATAATCATCTAGAGCACCCATTGGGGTGGAGGATAGGAAATGGAATTATGTCCAGTCATCTTGGTACGTGATTGTAATTGCTTATTTTGATGTTCTTGTTCAGCTTACAAATGTTAAACCTCTCTCTATTCGTTTTCTCTTTAGAGCAGTAACACTAAATAAAAGCACTGAGATACCGTACGATATTTTCTCGAATTACCGCCCTGACTTTTATTCAAACTTTCGGCTTAATCGAGGGGGCATTTATTGGGTTAGCGCAGCAATAAGACACAAATTAAATGAACATTTAACCATAAAGGAACTCTGCAAACGCATGAAGCCAGAAATAACTGGAACGGAAAAGAAACTATTCTCCTGTAACCTGTAATGATTCCGCTGTAGCTTATTCGAGGAGGGAGGTGGGCACTACCTTGAGAAAATACAAATAACGAGTAAAAATACTCAGCGATATTACACAACAAAACGTCTAATAAGTTATTTATTATCCACCACGCCAAACTGTTATTTCAGTGAGGGCGAATTTCGCGGAATTTATTTACGGGGAGTGCGTGACAGAAGAATGCGAGGCGGAACGGAATTGGCGCATTGTCGTGTTTTTTTTGTTTTTTTTTGTTTTTTTTCTTAAAAAAATGAAGAAATTTCAAGGTCGTCTAGCTGTTTTTCTTCGTTCAATTCATCTAATAAACTTGGATGTATATTTGCCAGCCATTCTGACTCTTCGTTGTCGGAAATATGATTCAAATTGTCCGCCATTTTTTTTTTTTTCCGTAACTGCAATTCAATTCTTCGCTTGCGCGATGCGAGAAAATCTGTTTAACCGGTATTCTACAGAACAAATACCGCGTGATATTTGTACTCGTCTATGGCGTTATTTGTACTCTACGAAGTGTAGCTAGATCGTAAAACCAATTATTCACCCTAAGCGGAGAATAAAGGAAATTAAAGCTCTTGTAGCCTTTCAAAGGTCACATCTCTCTCACACCTCATCGTTTCTAGAATCATCATCGACCATTAGAGGAATGTAATCTTTTTCATCGCGCTTTGAGACAATTGCTGCAGCCACTTGCTCCGACTTTCCTACACTTCAATGGCAAAAAGTTGCTTGCTATAGGCTTACTGCTATCCCGTAGCTTTGGCAGAAACTACCGGCACAACAACACAGAAAAATGCTGGTTACACAAGAATTTACACTCGACCTCAGAACTTAACGCTTATTTTCACTATTTCACCGAATTTCTGGCTAGCCTTCGCTTATAAGCACCACTCCTATCAAATCTCATAACTATAGGAATCAATTTCTATAGATGACACGAGTTTATAGAACAATCAGCTTCCCGTTTCCTCGAAACAAGCAAACCAAAATCCT